ATATTTAAAAATAAAAATAGTGATGAAATCTTGGCCGGGGGGTGGTGGCTCACGCCTGTAATCCTAGTACTCTGGGAGGCTGAGGTGGGAGGATCGTTTGAGCTCAGGAGTTTGAGACCAGCCTGAGCAAGAGGGAGGCCCCATCTCTACTAAAAATAAAAAGAAATTAGCTGGACAGCTAAATATATATATAAATATAAAAAATTAGCCAGGTATGGTGGCAGACGCCTGTAGTCCCAGTTACTTGGGAGGCTGAGGCAGGAGGATTGCTTGAGCCCCGGAGACTGAGGTTGCTGTGAGCTAGGCTGATGCCATGGCACTCACTCTCGCCTGGTCAACAAAGAGAGACTCTGTCTCAAAAAAAAAAAAGAAAAGAAAAAGAAAAGAAATACACGAGGGAAAGCAGAGGGGAGCATGCACACTCACAAAAACAGAGTATCTTGATGGAGACCAGGTGGTCAGGGAAAGCCTTGCCACCTCAGGGGGCATGGGCAGTGGCCTGGGGAGGCCACAAAACCCAGACAGACCAGAGACATCCAGAGATACCTAAAGACCTAGAGACCCAGAGACCAGAGACATCAAGAAACTTTGAGAGATTCAGAGACTGAAAGACTCAGAGACCCAGGGAGACTCAGAGAAACCCAGATGGACCCAGAGACCTAGAGAGGCCAAGAGATTCAGAGATATTCACATAGTCCCAGAGACCCTGCCCCAGCAAGGGGCAATTAGTGAGTTAAAACTTGCCCATCAGGCCCTTGCAGCCCAGGCCTCCTTTCCAGGCTCAGGACCTTGGCGCTGCATTTATCAAGAGAGGGACGGGGGTCATGGCTCCCAGCCCCGTCCTGTGGGGTTTCAGGCCCTGGGGTCCAGGTGGCCTGCCTCCATCCCTCTTGAAGGTGATGGCGCTTTTACCCCAGGAAGCTGCAGCTGGGAGGTGGGTGGTGCCTGGGCTCACAGGTAGAGGCAGGAGGTGTGGGCCAAGCCCCGCTCCTCCTCAGGAAGGGCCGGATTGGTGGATGGCAGGAGCAGGGCGGGGCCAGGCGGGCTATATTAGCCCACTGGTGGGTGGTTGGGAGTCATTCTGTGGGTAGCTCCAGAGCTAAGGTAAGACTTCTTGCAGGAGGAGTCCGGGCACCAAGAGGAGCACCAGGAGCTCCAGGCTTGTGGGAACCTAGATGGAGGTGCCCAGATTGACCCAAGGGTGGTGGGCGGCATCTTCTTTCCAGCCGCTTGGTTGACGTCTCTCTCTGGGGATGAGGCCTGGTTTAGGACAGTAGCTAGAAACGTTTTAGGGGGCCTCACCTCAACTTGCTCTAAATCCAAGTATTTGTCTAGTATCATTTCTCTCCCTGGGCCTCAGGGTGTCCGGGTCAGTGGCCCTTTCAACTCTCTTCTTTGGTGCAGGGTGGGGTGGGGGTGGTGGTTATGGGTTGGGAGGCCAGAGGAGTGATTAAACTCTTGAGGTTTTGGAGTCAGTGGGCTTCACCTTTAACCAGCTATGAGGCCTTATGCTTCAGGTTCCTAGTCTGAAAATAGGTTTTTTGTAAAATGTGCCTTCCTGCCAGGATAGAATAAGATGACAGCCCAAAGGCATTTAGCACAGCTCCAGGCACTTAGGAAGCCCGTGTTTGCTGCTACTGCTGTTACCCTCTGTCATGGCCTGGGGTGCCGCAGCCTCCAGCAACTCTTTGCTTCTTTTCTGCCCTCCCCATTCCGTGCATCCTCTCTGGCCTCTGCTCTGAGCCCCGTAGTCTCTGCACCGATACCTCCCCCGTCCTGGCCCCCTGTCACCACCCCCTTGACCCGTGCAAGAGGGTAGATGCTAAGTCCTGAGCCTGCTTTCGCTACAGGTCCCCCTGCCACGCCCCAACTCCACCCCCTATGAGATGAGTGAGGCCCAAGACCCTGCCTATGTCCCTGTGGTTATGACCCAGCTGAGGCTGGGGGGCTGCAGCTGGCAAGGTGGGGGCAATGGGTTTCTCCATTTCCGTCAGCACCAGGAGCTCCAGGCCTTCCTCAACCTACTGGGTGAGTTTCCTTGGAGGGCGGGCATGGGAGGGGCTGTGGGGCCTGGTGTCAGAGCAGATGTGAAAGGGGGGGTCCTACCCGAGGCCTCTGCGCCCTTCCTCCAGGTGACCCAGCTTTGGCCGGTGGAAGGGGTCCCTGTCAGAAAGTGTGTTCAGGCCGAGCATGGTGGCTCATGCCTATAATCCTAGCACTCTGGGAGGCTGAGGTGGGTGGATTGTTTGAACTCAGGAGTTCGAGACCAGCCTGAGCAAGAGTGAGACCCCATCTCTACTATAAATAGAAAGAAATTAGCTGGACAACTAAAAATATATATTCAAAAAAATATTAGCCAGGCATGGTGGCGCATGCCTGTAGTCCCAACTACTCGGGGAGGCTGAGGCAGAAGGATTGCTTGAGCCCAGGAGTTTGAGGTTGCTGTGAGCTAGGCTGACGCCACAGCACTCTAGCCCAGGCAATAGAGTGTAATTCTTTCTCAAAAAAAAAAAAAAAAAGAAAGAAAGAAAGTGGGTTCGGTGGCGGCTTGGGCTTCGGAGCGTCTGATGCCACTCTTTGGGGGGGCGGTGATAACCTGGGCCCCGTTTCTCCTCTCTACCCCTAGAGGACAGCTTTGTCCAGGATTTCCTCTCCACAGACTGCTGCTTCCGGGTTTCGGATAAGGTGAGAGGCACTGCAGGGGTGAGGTTGAACTGGTGGGAATTGAGTGCGGCTACCTTATTGGGTCCCCGGTCTGGGGTGGGGGCGCTCCCTTTCCACCCTTAGAACCCCTGTCTGTGCATGCCCCTCCCCACCAGTTTACCTTCTTTTCTTCCCTGCACCCAAACCTCCTTGGGTGCAAGTGAACCAGGCTGCCAGTTCCTGCTCCCCAGAGGCTAACCCCAGGCCCCTCGTCCATCTCTGCAGTATCTCCTGGCCATGGTGCTGGTCTACTTCCAGCGCGCCCACCTGAAGCTCAGCGAGTACACCCACAGCAACCTGTTCTTGGCACTGTGAGTGGCGGGGGCGGGCAGGGGGGCACTGGCTGGGAGGTGTCAGATAGGGCTGGGCAGGTGCTGTGGCCTCCTCTCCCTGACCCCGTGCTGCTGTGGCTAGGTACCTTGCGAATGACATGGAGGAGGACCTGGAGGAGGCCAAATGCGAGATTTTCCCATGGGCCCTGGGAGAAGATTGGTGTCTTCAGGTGGGGAAATTCCTGCAGCAGAGGGACGAGCTGTGGGCACGGATGGGCTTCCGGGCGTTGGTGAGCCGCCAGTGCTGTGAGGAGGTGAGGCTGGGCTTCCCCTGGGGTGGGGGGAAGGCTGAGCCTCCCCCGCATTCACTGTTCCCTCTGCCTCTCCCAGGTCATGGCAAAGGAGCCATCCCACTGGGCGTGGACTCGAGAGCGGCGCCCCCACCATGGTGGGGTTCAGAGGGGCCGTCCTGCCCGCTTCCCCCGAGGCCCTGGCCTGTCACCACCCCCTTGTTCCCTCTGTGACTTGCCCCAGCAGTGCAGCCTCCACCATCCTTTGCCTGCATCATCCAAGTGCCCTTCCCTGACCTTGAAGTGCCACCATCCTGATTCCCAAAATTATCTCTCAGGGGTCAAAAACCCCTGCGGTGGGGACTTCCTCATCATCTTGCCCCCCCAGATGCAGCTGGAGCCAGGCACATACACCCTCCACAGTGAGTTGGGGACAGGAGCTGGGGGGCTGGCAGAGCCTGGGAGGCAGGAGTGGGAACCAAGAGAATGGGAGGGAGGGGCATGAAGGCTGGGGGCGAAGCTGTGCAGCTCCTAGCTGTGTGGGCTCAGCTGGTTTCCTCTCTCTCTGAGCCTCACTCTCTCCTCCCCAGTCTTCCCGAAGCCTTCCTCACACCCCAGGCGCTGACGCTCCCCAGGGGGAAGAACAGCCCGCCACTGGCCTCTGACCCTCGCTCTACTGGCTGCGCCCCAACCTCCAGCCTCCTGTCTCTCGGGGGAGGGGGGTGTCTCAGGCTGGCAGTGCTGCCCCCACCCCTTCCTCCCAACCTGCAACTTCTAATAAATTTGTGTCCATAGGATATCAACTATGGTTATGTCCTGGCTTGGCTCCTTGACCCAGGGGGTAGGGGTGGGGAGGGTGTTGGGGGAGGGTGTTGAGGTAGGGAGAGGTCTGCCGGGCTTAGGATGTGCGGGCACAGGCTCTGTTACAGCTCTGCCCCTTGCCGATGGTGGCCAGTTGTCCTGAAACACAGTTTCCTCTGTAACATCTGTCCCCTAAGGATGATGTGAGCTGCACAGTGTAGATGGGATTAAGTGAGACAAGGTATATGTGGCCCTGAGAAGAGGGCCTGGAACCTACTGGGAAAAAAGCTCAAATGGAAAACAGCTCTGTACTCAGTCTAGAAATGTCTTCAGGGGCAGGTCTATTTAGGAATAAGATTTGCTCCCTTCCCTGGGCTGCAATCAAATAGAATGTAGTAATTATTATAATATAATCTCCTATCCCCAAAAAGACAGAATGAGAACTCAAAGTGTAAATTTCTTATTAATGGAGATGACAGGAAGGCTTCCCAGAGGAGCTGGCATTTGGACTGGACCTGGATATTCGTGGAGACTGTCTCATGCACCTGTAGTCCCAGCTATTCGGGAGGCTGAGATGGGAGGACTGTTTGGACCCAGGAGTTTGAGGTTGCAGTGAGCTATGATTGTACCATTGTACTCCAGCCTCTAATAAAAATATTTTAAAATAAAGACTTGGTCAGTATAAAATTTAAATTCTAGGTCCCTATATGACTTTGGCATGTTATTTAATCTCCCTGTGCCTCCATTGCCTCATGTGTAAAATAGTTTTTGATTTTTAGTGACAGGGTCTCGCTCTTCACCCAGGCTGGAGTGCAGTGGTCTGATTATAGTTCACTGTAACCTTAAACTCCTGGCCTCAAGCAATCTACAATCCTCCCTCTTTGGCCTTCCAAAATCCTGGGATTATAGGTGTGAATCACTGCACCAGGACTGGTGGTTGTGCTTTGGGTTTTGTTTATATATATATATATATATATAAAGAGATGGGGTCTTGTGTTGCCCGGGCAGGTCTCTAACCCCTGGCCTCAAGTGATCCTCCTGCCTCAGTTTCCTGAGTCACTGGGATTACAGGTGTGAGCCACCACGCCCAGTGTAAAATGGGTTCATACAACAGTGAGTGTTGTGGGCTTTTTTTTTTTTTTTTTTGAGACAGAGTCTCACTTTGTTGCCCAGGCTAGAGTGAGTGCCGTGGCGTCAGCCTAGCTCACAGCAACCTCAAACTCCTGGGCTCAAGCAATCCTCCTGCCTCAGCCTCCCGAGTAGCTGGGACTACAGGCATGTGCCACCCTGCCCGGCTAATTTTTTCTATATATTTTTAGTTGTCCAGCTAATTTCTTTCTATTTTTAGTAGACACAGGGTCTCACTCTTGCTCAGGCTGCTCTTGAACGCCTGACCTTGAGCGATCTTCCCTGCCTCGGTCTCCCAGAGTTCTAGGATTACAGGGGTGAGCCACCACACCCAGCCCAACCTGGATGGATTTTAAGGGCATTATATTAAGTGAAAAAGCATCTCAAAAAATCATATATGGGCCAGGCACCCATGCTTGTAATCCTAGCACTCTGGGAGGCTGAGGCAGGAGGATTACTTGAGATCAGGAGTTCGAGACCAGTGTGAGCAAGAGTGAGACCCCATCTCTACTAAAAATAGAAAAATTAGCCAGGTGTGGTGGTACACACCTGCAGTCCCAGCTACTGGGGAGGCTGAGGCCAGAGGATTGCTTGAGCCCATGAGTTTAAGGTTGCTATAAGCTATGATGACCCCACTGCATTCTACCTGGGGTGACAGAGCAAGACTCTATCTAAAAAAAAAAAAAAAAAGTCATGTACAGTAGTTCCCCCTTATCTGTGGAAAATACATTTCAAGACCCCCAGTGGATGCCTGAAACTGAGGATTGTACTGAGCTATATATGCCATGTTTTTTCCTATACATACCATGATAAAGTTTAATTTATAAATTAGGCACAGTAAGAGATTAACAACAATAACTGCCGGGCGCGGTGGCTCACGCCTGTAATCCTAGCACTCTGGGAGGCCGAGGCGGGCGGATTGCTCAAGGTCAGGAGTTCAAAACCAGCCTGGAACGAGCCTATAAATGGAAATCACAGTAAGTAGTCTCCTCTTATCTGAGGTTTCACTTTCCATGGTTTTAGTTCCCCTGAGGTACTACAAAGGGGAGAGTAGAAGAGAGAGAACATTCAAAATAACTTTTTATTATAGTATAGTTTACATCATTGTTTTTTGTTTTGTTTTGTTTTGAGATAGATGCTTGCTTCTTGTGACTGGCCTAGAGTGCAGTGGCGTCATCATAGCTCACTGCAAATTCAAACTCCTGGGCTCAAACAATCCTCCTGCCTCAGCCTCCTGAGTAGCTGGGACACAGGACACATGCCACCACGCCAGGCCTATTTTTTCTATTTTAGTAGAGACAGGTCTTGTTTGCTC